GTTGTAAAACCCTTCCTTTAATGAAAAATAGTCATATGGACCAGGTCAAAATTGAGATCATGGATTTATGGTTTAATGGCTGTTTTTGTGGCTCAAGCTATGTGAACTTAGACTAATAAATGTGAGTATGTTTTGAATGAAAAGGCTTTCACTCAAAGACTCAGCTATCCTTTAAAATGATTTGGTTTGTAATTTAAAATATGTAACAGACCCATGTATATTCGTTTATATGGTTATTTTGAAATCAATTTGTTTCAGGCTTGTTACAAAGTTGTATAGAGTAATGGTAACTTGGAAGGCGGGAAGCTAGAATTGATAGGGGGAAAGAGTGCATGGCTCCTTGAAGACGTAAAGTGCTTTTCTAAGCTTAGAGATTTATACAGAAAATGTGTCTAAGCAACTGAAGGGGGTACAAACCATTCTGAAATTGAAATGTTTATCAATTGGCTGTGTGATTGGAAACCTTATGCTTGTTTTGATGTTTTGGCAACTAGCTCGAATCAGCCAATTAATTTAAACCAAGCACTTAGCAATTGAATTCAAATCTGATGGTTTTGACAACCTCGGACCAATGCTAGTGTAAGAAAATCTATATGTCATCCAAGGTATAAAAGGAGAGGGTTTTTGAAAATTGGTGTGAAAGCGAACCACCATCTGAGAAGTAAGCATCTAGCTCTCACAAGAAATTGCTAAACTCTCTAAGAAAGCACCATCTATCCATAAAAGGTACCACGGCACTTTTAGCTAAGTGTCCTCCAGAAGACCTCATGGAGAAAACATCCCTGATGGCCGGATCAGTGGAACAAAGGCGTTTATGACTTGAGAACAGCAGAAGAAAGGCGTGTAGACTTTGAGAGACTAAGTCTTAATTTTTTTTCCTATTACTTGTATTTATATAAGTGGGACTTGTGTTTATTGAAACAGCATATCAATAGAATTTAGTTCACTTAGGGAATAGGTAGTAGTTAAGAGGGAATTGTTTGGTTTGTTAATAATTCTGTTAATTTGTTCACTGTTAGGGTTAAATAAATAAATTGTAACTTTTTAACTTATAAAGTGAACGTCAGGGATTTTCTTTCATGTAACCTCCCCTTTTCCATAATAGTTTAATAGATTAGGCAAGTTGAAGCAAGCTTCTCTGGGTATTTCGGGTTTAATTATTAAAAGGTGATCTCTACTCCTGCCCTAACAGATTGGAGGCTAGTGTTTCGATTTGCATTATCAAAGGCGTTCGACCTCCTCTTCCTAACAGGTATCAACAACTTGTGGAGTCACACATGGTACTCTTCATTAAAGGATATTGATAAGTTAAGGAGAAAGCTTAGATGTACAGTTGGGACATTTGGAATGACACTAATCACTAGGGATGGCCCTACATAGTCCGAGCAGAGATACAAACTACTGTACTATTGCCGTGTTATAAGTAGAAAAGTAAAATGTTTGCAGGTTGGTACAAAAAATCTGTTATAAAGATTGGTGATCTTTCAAAGTCATAGGCATGTCAAAGAATGAACAAGGAGACAGTTTGAATGACTATTACTTATAAAGAAACTGACTAGAAACTGGGCATGCACAGTTTAGCCAATCTGAGATTGATATCTGTCTTTCATGCAATGGCAAGCCAATTAAAGTTTAGAATGTTCCCTGTCATGCACGTGTGGTAGTGGCTAGCAACAGTTAATATGCTGTAATTCTTAGTGGTTCAGTACACAAAACAGAAGACCAAAGACAGAAGGACAACTTTAGTTAACAGAAGAAAGCAAGATATCTGAGTCCATTCAGCCTGAAATGTGAGTTGATGGCCTTCAGTGGATAGACCTCTGTTCTGTTGAGTGTTGTTTGGTTTACATTTACTATGATAAATTTAATTTCTGTAAATCTTGAGAAAGTATACTTGTAATTAACTTAGGAGCAGAAGTAGGCATTTCAGCCCGTTGAGTCTGCTCAGTCATTCAGTGGCTTATCTGATTATCCTCACTTCCACTTACTTGCCTTTTCCCTGTATCTCTTGATTCCCTTACTGATTAAACATCTACCTCAGCTTGAACATACTTAACAATTCTGCCTCAACAGTCCTCTGTGGCACATAATTCCACAGATACCTTCTGAGAGAAGAAATTCCTCCTCATTTCTGACTTAAATGGGCAACCCTTTATTCTGAGATTCCGATCTTTGGTCCGAGGCTCTCCCACAAGGGGAAACAATCTGTCTACAGCTAATCTGTCAAGTCCCCTAAGAATCTTGATTGTTCCAATGAAGTCATTTCTCATTCTTCTAAATTCCAAAGATTAATCAAAACTAGTATATTTTTAGATTTTTAGATTTAGAGAATGTTGCATATATGGAATGAGCTGCCAGAGGAATTGGCAGAGGTGGGTATAATTACAATATTTAAAAGACATTTGGGCAGGTACATGGGAAGGAAAGGTTTAGAAGGGTACAGGCCAAATGCAAGCAAATGGTACCAGTTCAGTTTAGGAAACCTGTTTGGCATGAACAAGTTGGGCTGTTTCCATGCTGTATGACTCCTTGACTTTATAATGTAGTTAATAATTGGAATTAAGTTGAACCCCAAAATCTTAAGGGGCAGTGCTGTCTGTCCCAGGATCCCCATATGCACAGTTCCCAGGTAAATGGCTCCATCTGTGCTCCCATCTCCCTTGCCCTGGTGTCATATGCTGTGGTTCTGAGTCATAGAGATGAGGAACATTCCCAGGAGTGATCCAGAATACGTTATAATTGATTCTAGGTACTCCTGTTGGCCCTGTTGCCTTAGTGCTGGAAGAGAGGAATAGAATCAGCTAATGTTCCCACTGTTGGTTGTTGGCTAGTGACTAATGCTAGAAAAATGTTTGTGCAATTGTGACATGCTCAAGCTTGGTTATGATACCCTCATTGCAGAATAACGTTCGCAAAGAACTGGTGGGCAGTCGAATTTCCTGAAAGTAAGTGGTTTTGGATGTTAAAAAAAATGCATTGATGGAAATACTACCAACTAACTTGGATTTAAATATCTTGACATTTTTCACATTCTTAATGTATTAAAATGAACTTGCATTACATTCGATACTACAAATAAATGTTACCTCAAGCCAACTTGTTAGACAATAAAATGCTTCACTTGTTATGTCATGTTACGGGTACATATGTTGATATAATGTGGCACTCAGCTTGTCCTGAAGCCATTTTTTTGTTACAAATGCTTTATAACTCCATTGCTACACACGTAATGTGTTCCACATCATTGAAGAAAAAGTTTACCACCACTCTGTTATTTTAACTGAGATCAGAGAAAGAGCTGTAATGAAATTTGGTTGAGAACTTAGAAATTGATAAATGCAAGTTTCTGCCCTTTTTGAATGGCAAAGTCAATCCCAGCTTCCTGTGTGCAGGTGCATGTTTAGATCAGTAATTCCCTCTGAGATAAATATAATGCTTTGTTAACATTTAGCATTTATTGCAGTTGCATGTTTCGTGGCAAGAAGATTGTCATTTTAGAATTTCAATAAGCGTTAGAAAATATTATGTAAGTGTCCAGTTTTGGGTAAACTCCATTTGTAACCCATGTTTCAAATAGATGCAATATCTTTTTGAGTTTTGTTTATCATTTTTAACTTGGATAATTGAAGAAATACCCTAGCGAATTAACATAAATGTGTCCTTAGAATTGAATCAGTGAACAGGATGAATGCTGTGAATGGATAGGGTTAATTAAATCATGAAGGCTTTTGCAATCAAAGCTTTCCTTACCAGGGAAGAAAATAAGCAATTAATACAGCAGGACAAGAGACAGCTCCCTAATGCATGATTTAGTTAAGTCCTGTGTGAACTGGATACAACCTTTGTGAGAAAAGACATAAAATGCTTGAAATGAACAACCAATTTGGCATGTTCTGATTTATTGAATGAATCCTGTGACTATATTATTTAATTAATTTCAAAAGTTTTAACTTTTCTAATATTTATTTTAGTCAAAAGCATTTGATACACAAGGTGGTCCTTTCTGTTGCTGAAGATTTCAGTTCCCATTCCTAAGGCCTTAGTTTGTAGAAAACCAGCTGACGTATTGATTATAAGATGCACTCTGACCTATGCTATATCAATATGAACATACTTTCAAAGTTAGAATTCTGAGGAAGGGTCACCAGACCTGAAATGTTAATGCTGATTTCTCTTCATAGATGCTGCCAGACGTGCTGAGCATTTCCAGCAACTTCTAGTTTTTTTTTATGATTTAGAGCATCTGCAGTTCTTTTGGTTTTTTTATACTTTCAAAGTTTCAAAGTTGTATGAAACATCCATTTGAAGCAGTCAAACTCAGTTCTAGCACAGTCATTGTAAAAGGCAGGCTCTGGGGAGTCAGGAAGGGAGTTATTTGCTGCAGAATTCCTAGCCCCTGTCCTGCTGTTGTAATCACTGGTCTAGTTCAGATTTTGGTCAGTGGTGTCACGGACACTGAATTAACCACACGGGTAAACACAAAGTTGCGAACCGCAGGTCCATAACTCAAAACCTTCAGCCCTGAAGAAGGGTAATACCCAAAGCATTGACTGCTCCTTTCCTCCTGATGTTGTGTGGCATGCTGTGTTCTTCCAGCCTCCTGTTTGTCTACCTTGAGCAGATAGGATGTTTCTCCTGGTAAGAGAGTCTAGAATTGTTGGATACAATTTAAAATAAGAGGAATGCCATTTAGGACTGAGGTGAGAATTTTGTTTTGTTCAGAGAGTGTGAATCTTTGGAATTCTCTACCCCAGATGGTTGCAGATGTTCAGTCTATGAATAAGTTTAAGGTTGATAAATATTTGATTACCAATGGTATAAAGTGTTGTGGCATTGTGTGGGTAAAAGAAATTGAAGTGTTCGATCAGCTACGATTGTATTGAATGGTGGAGCAGGCTCAATGGGTTGGATGGCCTATTCCTGTTCCTTTGTTCCCAATTATTGGTCAGTTCACCTTGTTTTCTTGCTAAATAAACAAAGCATTATTTTCTTTCTTTCAGTACAATATTGGAAGAAGAGAAAGTGCAACAGGAAGAAAGAGTGAGAATGGAGCAGAGAAGGCAGATCACAGTTTCCTGGGATTCGGGAGGATCAGATGAAGCCCCTCCAAAGGTATCGTGAATATTCAATGCACCTAGTTTCCTGTACTATTTAAAAACACCTAATTGTTTTAATATTCATATCATGCTGTTCTTTTGGTGTTTGTTCAATTCATTGCTTGGGATAGTGACACCTTGAATCTCTTTATGGGTTATACTAAGACATTAAATAATTTGAATGTTTGCTACAAATGTATTTTTTTCTTAAACTGCTAACACTCTTCCAACCTAAGTAACACAGGATAGTTGTAACTATCTTTTATTTAGCACTTGTGGAAGAATGCCTTAAAGTATTTGTTTTTAGGCTTGATTGTCAGTGGTGGGAAAATATCATATGACTTATCTTCAAAGTTTTACTTTTATGAACTCAGTAGCAGCAACAACTTGTATTTATAGAGCACCTCTAAAGGCTTAAAACCTCCTAATTACTTCAAAGAAGCATTACCAAACAAAATTCAACATTGAGTCATAGAAGGGAGATATTACAACAAATAATAAAAAGGTTGGTTCAGTGGATAAGTTTTAAGAAGCATCGTTAAAACAGGACAGAAATAAAGAGATGCAGAGGCTATTGGGGAAAAAATTCCCAGAACTTTGGGAGTTAACAGCTGAAGACATGCACGTATTACTAAAGCTGAGAACAGTGAATGCTTTATTAACTGCTCTCTCCACCTGTCCTGCCATCTTCAATAATCTCTGTGAATACATACACCCAGATCCATGCACTGCTGCACTCCATTTAGAATTTTACTCCCTATTTTATATTGTCTTACACTTTGGTTGGAAGAACTTTGAATCACCTCACACTTCTCTACTTTGAACCTTATCTGCCACCTGTCTATCCACATCTCTAACTCATCAGTGTCCTTTGGGAGTTCCACAGTTTACATTTCTTTCAAGCTTTGTATCATCTGAAAACTTCGAAATTGTCCCCTGCGCACCAAGATCCAGATCATTGATAAATCAGGAAAAGCAAGGGTCCCAATACTGACCCCTGAAGAACTCCACACCAAACCTTCTTCCAGCCTGAAAAATATCAGTTGACCATTATTGTCTGTTTCCTATTAGTCATTAACATGACTTAAACTTTCCCCTCTGGTCTGTTGTATGGCATTGTATCGAAGTCAAAATCCATTTTTGCCACGTCAATAGCATTACCGTCTTTGAGCTTTCCAACTGCCTCTTCAAAAAAACCTCAGTAAATCAGTTAAATACGATTTTTCCACTTTGGAAATCCATGCTGACATGAAATGGATTGTTCCTGCATTATATAGTATCTTATCAAGTCTGCGCTAGCTATTAAAGAACCTGATTCTAGCAAATAAGCTAGACGGTCTACTGCAATTTTGCGATACTTCCATAAAGACACAACTTTAAATTAATTTATATTGTCTGGCATTACCAAAGTACGTATTTGAAACCACAAAGTATGTGAAGTATGTGAAGATACAAAGAAAGTTTTTTATTTGACGAAGCTAGTTTAACAGAAAGACCATAAGACATAGGATCCGAGTTAGGCCATTCAGCCCATCAAGTCCCCGTGCCATTCATTATGGCTGATATATTTCTCAACCCCATTCTCTTTCCTTCTCCCAGTAACCCTTGATCCCCTCATTAATCGGGAACCTATCTATCTCTGCTTTAATACACTCAATTACTTAATGTGTGCTCGTACTATGAAATAAGTTGCTTTTCAGCAGACTGTATATTTTGTATACAAATCCAAATGGTCATACCTTTGTGATTTATTAGTAGTGTATTTGGAAAATATTTGTTTTATTATTAGGATTTTTAAAAAGTAGCACATTGAATCTTTCCTCTTGTAGAAGTGCCTGGTGCTTGCAATGTTCTATTTTATTTGTGGAACACAGTCTCTATTTAAATTGCACTATGAAATTAACATCATTTTCCATGTTTGACATGTAGCATTGTCTTCGATTTTAGTTTGCATATTTATTTGTCATTCGTTAAAGTCTCACAATTTTGTTAAACTGATTCATGCTGCTTTTCTACTTTAATCTGCTTTGTGTCTGTCTGCAGCCAGCCCGTTGGCCATCTTTGCAACACAGTTTTAGCTTGGACAGTCTGTCTTTACCTGAGTTCTCCCAACGCAACACCATGTTTTGTTTATATCTAAAACAACCATCAGAAGCTTATGGGCATCCATTCACTGCTGCTGCGTCTGCTTCTGACAGGCTTCTTCCTATGTGGCCTCGGCGCAGGCATCCTGTACCCACTTCAGCATATCGACAGAGTGCTCGTCTGCTTCCCTTTTATTTTGACAGGCTGAATGCAAATCTGCAGCAACAATTGATGTCTGGCGAATGGAGAAGGGCCCAGGAAGAAGCAATGGTTAGGATTTACTGTGCAAAGGGAACAAAACATCAGCACAGAACTGTCATGTAGCTAAAAATGAAGTAAATAGTGTTGTTATAGTGGACGCATTTTAACTTTTACATCTAAAACACATACTGGATAAGATTAATGCAATTTAACAATACCCCTTCCATTTCAACAAAGAATTTAATCATAAAGATGCCATTTTTTTTCTTTTAAAGCCCAAATGTCACAAGAATATAACAAAACAATTTTCCCTCCTCATTTTCTACAAAGAAACACTTCAGTTCATCTTCAAAATTTGTGAACTGAGATCAAAAGGCCACTACGTAAGTATTTTTTATTCATTCACAGATTGTAGGCATCACTGGCCAGGCCAGCATTTATTGTTCATCCCTAATTGCCCAGAGGGCAGTTAAGATTCAGCCATATTTCTGTGGGTCTGGAGTCATATGTAGACCAGATCAGGTAAGGACAGCACTTCTTCGCTAAAGGACTTCAGCGAGCCAGATGTTTTGTTTTGAGAATTAACAATAGTTTCATGATTATCATTAGATATGATCCTTAATTCCTGATTTTAATTGAATTCAAATTCCATTACCTGCCTGTGGAATTTGAACCTAAGTCCCCAGCTAATTAATTAGGTCGCTGGATTAATAGGTTAGCGACTAGGCCATCAATTTCCTGAGGTGCACATTCATCTGTTACCACTCTATACAATCAGCGCATACTTTTTCTTTTACTATTTATGTTTTTGACATTATGTACATGAAAGTTAAGAGCAAGAGGTGGCCAGATTGCCCCTCGATCCTGCTCTACCACTCAATAAGATCATAGCTAATCTGATCACCCCTTTCTTGCCTATCCCCCTTAATCTTTCACTCCTTTGCTTCTCAAGAAATATAATGACAAGATGTTCTCCAAGTAATAAATATGTTATGAATACTTTGGGAATGATTGGGTGATGCAGTGAGTTTGCCACTGGCTTTTCACTTCTGAGATTTGGATTTAAATCCAGACAAGATTAACAGGAGTGTATCCTCTCTGTCTGAACACTAAGCTCTCTATAGAAATAAATTTTGTAAGTTTGATCAGTTTTTTGGCGGCAGTAGCCAGCTAACTTCCTATTTGGCATGAAATTGGCAAATCACAAAATACCTAATGTGGGATTTAGTAATGAGTCATACTGTTTTCAAACTAGGGATGAGGCGCACAATTTTGGAGCAGTAACAATAAGTAAAGTCACCATTGTCCCAGAGAGACAGCTGGTGGTGAGTTTAACCTGAGGACCGCACCTCAGCCATAGGGAGAGGTTGAGAAGGTAGGACCTTCATGGTGACCTCAGCCGGTAGAGGAATTGAACCCATGCTATTTGTGTCACTCTGCATCACAAACCTGCCATCCAACCGAGTTAAACCAGCCCCCAGCAACAATATACACCTTCCAACTAATAGCACTATTGCAGTGCCTTCACCACATGAACTGCAGTGACTCAGTGTCACCTCCTTACAACCAATTAGAAATGAGTGATAAATACTGGCCTTGTTATATCCTATGAATGAATTAAGAAAACTGAAAATACTTCATGATTAAATGTGGTGCTCAAAAACTGGAGCACTCCAAATGAATAACACTTGTATCCTACATTTTGAGTACAAAATTCTCACATACTTTAATTGGTACGAGATTGCTTTGGAGAAAATTCTTAAACCCACTTCTCAACACATCATTTTTCTGTTCTGATGATGCAGCAAAATATTCAACAGTGACAACATTTTTTAACAAAACTTTTGAAAGCTACCATTTTGTTTACTTACTATCCATGCAAATTATTATTTCTTCCTGGATGCAGTGAATGAACTGTGTGTTCAGTCTAAGCCAGCATGTCCGTTATAGCTTTCCTCCTCACAAAGTATCTGTTCTAAGCTTGAATACTTTTCCTTTCTTTTAATTGCTTGTCTTTTCGTGCTTCTATATATCTTTAAATCGCTCCTTCCTGTTCTCTGATCAATAAAGCTGATGGCAATACTTTTTCACGTGAAATGGTATTGTCAAATGTGCAGCTGATATTTTTTTCCTCTACTAACAACGTTATTTCTACATCATGATGTATGGTGTATATGTACGATATGGTGGAGTTTCTCTAATTGTGATTCATACCTGGCAACAGCTTATTGTAGCAGCAAGTGTTTTATATGGTACTTATAGAAATGAATGAGAGATCTGAAGACATCTGGTTGGCTTGTGTTGGGATTTGAATGTGGCCTGTAACCTACACTGTACTTTTCCTACAGCCATCCCATACCCTTTGCTCAAGCCACATGAATGAAAAGAACCGGCCATTATTTAACCCTTTTCTTTGTTTTATAAGTCTGAAGACTTGATTGTGTTATGTAGTTTTGAGTTGTTACTTTGAATTTTATTTTGCTGTTTTGCCTGCTAGATCCATAAATATTCCTGGATCTTGCCAGAGGAAATCCAATTGAGTTTTCAGCACACACATATTGTTCTAAAGTGAAAGTTACTTTGTGTGCTGACTTAGTTGGAACAGAAAAATATAAACCATTGTATAATTTTAATGCAACTAATGTAGAATGTTTATTACTACATTAAAATCTTAAATCCACACAGACATTTTCTTTTATTTTGCACCATTATAAATCGGTGTGTCTACATTTATAGTTGAAAGTAGCCAAGTAAATGTTACATATTGTCGTTGGAGTTCTGCCATTGAAGGTGTTGATGTAATCACTACCTAACTTGTATACATGGGCATTAAAATATTCAAAGAAGCAGAGAATGCATTATTTAATGGGGAACTAAACTCCTGCCTGCTGTGGCCCAATTATCCCCCTTTCTCCAAACCCGTTAACCTGAAAACTGCCTTTAATGTTGGACCAAAAATTTAAATTCAGCAGGACCTCAAGTGGGTGGGAATTAATAGGCTACCCATTCTACAACCTGCCTGATTCTGCCCTCTAATCACTCTATGTTACCATGGAAGACAAATTTGATAATTATGGCTTGAAGATTTGAAGTATTTCATGAATCTTTGATGTCATCATGGCTTTGATTCACAGTGCTCAGTTCTCCTGTGATACACAGTAAATTCATGTGATAGAATGACACTTAACTTCAGGTTAGCTGATTATTCAAGCTTGTCTTACGTCTGTTACTGTTTCATGTCAAACTAAACAAAGAAGAAACCTACCAGAAAAATGCACTCAAACTCAAGCAATACATTTTGTGTTTAGGACTGAGATGACTGGAGTAAATTATCTAATGTTTGTTGTCAGCTGTTATTGATTTAATTGCTGTCACTTGCTGTAGGATCATGCTTTGAACAAATTGGCTGGTGCAGTTCATTACAATAATAGCAGAGTTAACTACAATAATAGCAGTGAGAATTTATAAGATGCTACAAATGTGAGTTCCTCCCTCTCTCCCTCTTTCTATGGGTTGTTTTGGCAAGGTCAGAAATCACACAACACTAGGTAATAGTCTAACAGTTTATTTGAAAACACAAGCTTTCTGACCCTCACTCCTCCTTCAGGTGATAATGAGAGAGGTGGCATCAGATAAAGAATTTATAAGTAAAAGATCAAAGGGTCACACAAATGATGAGAATGTATTAAACAAACCTCAGATGCTGTTAAACCTTTAATAGTTAGAAAGTTTTAATTGATTAATATGTATATGTAAATCCCCAAATTCCTTTCAACTCACTGCTCTGAAGAGAACTAAAGGTTTTATCAGTGTAAAGAAGAGGTGATATTTTTGGTCAGACAGTGCATGTTAGGATGAGACCTTGTTTAGAATCTGTTTGTGTTTTGGTTTGGAGTCAAACTGGTTTTATTCTAAAGTAGGAATCTATGAAACGCCACATTGACTACCTATAAATTGTGTGCTTTTTGAACAAAATAGAATGTACCTGCAAATACAACTTAACCCCATAGATTGTGTGTGTGTGTGTGTGTGTGTGTGTGTGAGAGAAACAGAGTCAGTTGTCACTGTGTTACCAAATCTCTGATTTCACCAGTTAAGACTTTACTGTGTGTGTAGTTATATTAAGTTTTAAATGAGCGCAGTTTCTACCTAAAACTTCATAAAGACCAGGCTGTCGCCTTCCATTTCTGCCAAATTCCCCATTACCCTCACGACTGAATCCGTCTCCCTCCTGCCCCCTGCTGCAGAAATGACTATGCACAATCTCAGTGTTCTTCTTTGATTATGAACTACGTCACTGACTCCATGTCAGCTGCTGTCTCCTCCACCTGCATATGTTACCTGCTGCTTTGCTCCCTGCTGGCATTCCCATTCAAGATTTTCTCAAGTCCACACCAAACTATTCAAAAGCTTTCCTGGCTCACTTTCATTCTGCACCCTCTCTAAATCTATGCTGCCCATATCCCAACCCACACCAAGTTTTCAACACTTATCACTGTCTTCCATCAGCCCATAACACCTCTCTCTCCATCTCTCCAAAGGTCTCTGTTGCTCTGACCCTGCCTTCTTGTGCGTCCTTCCTTTCTTTGTCCTCACCATTAACACCCATGCTTACACTGGCCTTAGCCCAATACCAACCTGTCCACCTCTATTTCTTTAAAACCCACATTTTTGACCAACTGTTTGATCAGCTCTCCTCATCTCTTAGTATGTGGCTTGCCATTTAAGTTTGTTTCTTGTGCCTCACTCAAGGGGCTTGGGGCAGCTGATACATTAAAGGTGCAAGTTATTGTTGTGTCATCAAATAAACATTCAAAAAATTATGGTTAAGATTATTTAATGGCACTGCAACAAACAACACATGGCTAGGTGAGATTCCTTTGAAAGAAATTTAACTGGCAGGTATGTTTCAGCATTACACATTATCATTAAAATATAGGTTTCTTTTTAGACTATCTCAGTAGTCAATGATATTTTAGCATGTTGAAAGAGACCATTCAATACCTCGCATGATGAAACTTTAAAACACATACATTTATGTTTGTTTTAATAAAATTACTATAAACAGACAGTGATCTTTTCTTGTTATCCTCTGTATGCTTCTGCAGATAAACAAGCTAAAGACAGCACAGTTGAAAGATGATCTTTTTTGACCTTCATCGTTGGTCTTTAGTTTGAGCAAGTGATTACTGCAGTTAATGGGTAGATTTGCCTTCAGCTACACTGGATAATTGTGATGGATGGTGTCTGTTTTTCTACAAGTGTCAGTTCTCCACTTTATTTCCACTGCATCTGATGAAAATTTGACTTTGGCTAATCGTCAAATTTTCTTGTAGATTGTAGAAAGATTACTTGCAGAAATTAACCTCAAACTTTAAGGCCAATGTGGAATCTTCCAGCCAACTGTCTGAAATGACCAATTTTCTTTCATACTTAGTGCACATATCATGTACCTGACCTCTTCCATTATCTGCACTGTGCAAGTATTTGGGTCTTTGTGTTTAGCTGTAATAGCAGATATAATTTACCGTGTATTTCTTTCCTTTGTTTCTCTACAATAGCCCAGTAGACCAGGCTACCCAAGTCCAAGATCCAGTGATGGTTTCTTTCCCAGTCCACAACATATGGTGCAGCATAATCATTATCAGGTAAATAACAGACATTGTAAGACATTTTTGGGGAAAAATACCACTGAATTTGCAACACATGGTAGCATTATAACTTGGATCAACCAAACATAACTGTAACAAAGACCAAATTGATTGAGTGGTGATGGCCTTGATACATTCATCCAGTCACAACCTTGAATAACTTGGAGTATCTCAGCCTACCCCGTAGCAGAACATGGAGTTTTAAAACTTGTCTAAGTGAAGCACTTAATACTTGAGAGACCATGGACCAAGAGTCTGTTTTGGCAGTAATAATTTTTCTGTTATGTAGTCATAGTAACATGTATGTGCTTTCTACAGAACACCAATAAAGGAAACATCATCTTGCAGCACTAATTCTACTTCAATCATCATTGATTTATACGTACTCCTGTTGCAAATCTCTAAACATATTAACTGTAATATTGAATTCTAGAATCCTTTGGTTTATTCCATGTTAAAAATGCTGTGTCCTCTTGACAACTGTGAATTGAACTAATCTATAGCTGTGGTCACTGTAGATCATTTCAGTTAATTGTGTTTATTAACAGGTTTCTGGATATACTGGTTCACACGGAATTTCGCCTATGCCTGGAACTATATATACTGCACAGGCAAGTGTATTAGATGCTCATGATTCCTGGAATCATCATAGAGCTTAGGATATTCCAATTTGGCCACAAAATCTGGAGGTAATATAATTCTGCAACCAAGGTATTCAGTTCATTGAAGCTTGATTGGAATAAAGCTGATAGCTTGCCCTTCAAGCCATGCCCTGGATGTTAACATATAATGAATTAAAAAACACCATCAAGTCATGATGGAGTATTTGAATAAAATATACATCCGTTGTAATTTAGATGCTGGAAAAGGCATCTCTTGAGTTTGACAGAACCAGGGATTTTAGATCTTTCTCAGTGCGATCCAAACAAAATAAGTACTGGATATTTTTAATTGAATTGTAAAACAGTGACATAATCTCTAATTCAGATGATGTCATTACCTTGAGCTTTGTGTTTGATCACCCATTTAAATTAATTTATGATATTGCATGTAATATGAAATTTTGTTTAAAGTTTTAGCAAAGATTTGTAGCTCGGGTTGTGGGGCGAGGTTGTTGACTTACTCGCCAAACTGGCTTGTTTTTGTTCAGACGTTTCGTCACTATGCGAGGTAACATCATCAGTGAGGCCTCCGATAAAGCGATGTTGTGCTACTCCTCTTGGAATTTATACCGTCTTGTTAAAAACTCATACAGAACAAAACTAGAAATGACACTACTCACCATGACGGACCAGACAGTATAAATTCCAGATAACAAGGTGTAGAGCTGGATGAACACAGCAGGCCAAGCAGCATCAGAGGAGCAGGAAAGCTGACGTTTCGGGCCTAGACCCTTCTTCAGAAATGGGGGAGGGGAAGGGGGTTCTGAAATAAATAGGGAGAGAGGGGGAGGCGGATAGAAGATGGATAGAGGACAAGATAGGTGGAGAGGAGACAGACAGGTCAAAGAGGCAGGGATGGAGCCAGTAAAGGTGAGTGTAGGTGGGGAGTTAGGGAGGGGTTAGGTCAGTCCAGGGAGGACGAACTGGTCAAGGGGGTGGGATGAGGCTAGTAGGTAGGAGATGGGGTTGGGGCTTGAGGTGGGAGGAGGGGATAGGTGGGAGGAAGGACAGGTTAGGGAGGCGGGGACGAGCTGGGCTGGTTTTGGGATGCGGTAGGGGAAGGGGAGATTTTGAAGCTTGTGAAGTCCACATTGATACCATTGGGCTGCAGGGTTCCCAAGCGGAATATGAGGTGCTGTTCCTACAACCTTCGGGTGGCATCGTTGTGGCATTGCAGGAGGCCCAGGATGGACATGTCGCCTGAGGACTGGGAGGGGGAGTTGAAATGGTTCACGACTGGGAGGTGCAGTTGTTTAGTGTGAACCAAGCGTAGGTGTTCCGCAAAGTGGTCCCCAAGCCTCCGCTTGGTTTCCCCGATGTAGGGGAAGCCACAACGGGAACAGTGGATACAGTATACCACATTAGCAGATGTGCAGGTGAACATCTGCTTAATGTGGAAAGTTTTCTTGGGGCCTGGGATGAGGGTGAGGGGGGAGGTGTAGGGACAGGTGTAGCACTTGCTGTGGTTGTAGGGAAAAGTGTCGGGTGTGGTGGGGCTGGAGGGGTGTGTGGAGCGGACAAGGGAGTCCCGGAGAGAGTGGTCCCTCCGGAAAGCAGATAAGGGTGGGGAGGGAAAATGTCTTTGGTGGTGGGGTCGGATTGCAGATGGCGGAAGTGTCGGAGGATGATGCGTTGGATCCGGAGGTTGGTGGGGTGGTACGTGAGGACAAGGGGGATTCTGTTTTGGTTGTTATTGCGGGGAGGGGGTGTGAGGGATGAGTTGCGGGAAATGCGGGAGACACGGTCGAGGGCGTTCTCAACCACTGAGGGGGGGAAGTTGCCATCCTTGAAAAACGAAGACATGTGAGATGTTCGGGAGTGGAATGCCTCATCCTGGGAGCAGATGCAGCGGAGGCGAAGGAATTGGGAATAGGGGATGGCATTTTTGCAGGAAGGTGGGTGGGAGGAAGTGTATTCTAGGTAGCTGTGGGAGTCGGTGGGCTTGAAATGGATATCAGTTTCCAGGTGGTTGCCAGAGATGGAAACAGAGAGGTCCAGGAAGGAGAGAGAGGTATCAGAGATGGTCCAGGTGAACTTAAGGTTGGGGTGGAAGGTGTTGGTGAAGTGGATGAACTGTTTGAGCTTCTCGTGGGAGCACGAGACGGCGCCGATGCAGTCATCAATGTAACGGAGGAAGAGGTGGGGTTTAGGGCCAGTGTAGCTACGGAAGAGGGATTGTTCCATGTAACCTACAAAGAGGCAGGCGTAGCTTTAGCCCATGCGGGTACCCGTGGCCACCCCCTTTGTCTGTAGGAAGTGGGAGGAATTGAAAGAGAAGTTGTTGAGGGTGAGGACGAGTTCGACTAAGCGGATGAGGGTGTCGGTGGAGGTGGACTCGTTGGGCCTGCGGGACAGGAAGAAGCGGAGGGCCTTTAGGCCATCTGTATGGGGAATGCAGGTGTATAGGGACTGGATGTCCATGGTAAAGATGAGGTGTTGGGGACCGAGGAATTAGAAGTTTTGGAGTAGGTGGAGGGCGTGGGTGATGTCACGGATGTAGGTAGGGAGTTCCTGGACCAAGGGGGAGAAAATGGAGTCGAGATAGGTGGAGATAAGTTCGGTGGGGCAGGAGCAGGCGGAGACAATGGGTCGACCAGGGCAGTCAGGTTTGTGGATTTTGGGAAGGAAATAGAAGCGGGCGGTGCGGGGTTGGGGAACGATGAGGTTGGAGGCTATGGGTGGGAGGTCACCTGAGGTGATGAGGTTGTGGATGGTTTGGGAGATGATAGTTTGGTCGTCGGGGGTGGGGTCATGATCAAGGGGGCGGTAGGAGGAGGTGTCGGAGAATTGGCGCCTGGCCTTGGCGATGTAGAGGTCAGTGCGCCAATCTACAACTGCGTCTCCCTTGTCCGCGGGTTTTATGGTGAGGTTGGGATTGGTGCGGAGGGAGCAGAGGGCTGCACGTTCCGTGGGGAAGAGTTTCGAGTGGGTGAGAGAGGTGGAGAGGTTGAGGTGATTGATGTCATCACGGCAGTTGGAGATGAAGAGGTCGAGGTAGGGTATGAGGTCTTGGGGTGGTGTTCAGGAGGGGGGATGTGTTGGAGGCGGGAGAAAGGGTCAGTAGAGGAAGGGTTAGGCTAACGGTTAACGAAGTAAGCGCGGAGGCGGAGGCGGCGGAAAAACTGTTCAACATCCAAGCGTGAGCGGTATTCGTTGATGTGTGGGTGGAAGGGGACAAAGGTGAGCCCTTTACTGAGGACTGACCGTTCGTCCTCAGTAAGGGGGAGGTCTGACACCCTCATCCGCTTAGCCGAACTCGTCCTCGCCCTCAACAACTTCTCTTTCAATTTCTCCCACTTCCTACAGACAAAAGGGGTGGCCATGGGTACCCGCATGGGCCCAAGCTGTGTCTGCCTCTTTGTAGGTTACGTGGAACAATCCCTCTTCCGTAGCTACACTGGCCCTAAACCCCACCTCTTCCTCCGTTACATTGATGACTGTATCGGCGCCGCCTCGTGCTCCCACGAGGAGCTTGAACAGTTCTTCCACTTCATCAACACCTTCCACCCCAACCTTAAGTTCACCTGGACCATTTCTGATACCTCTCTCTCCTTCCTGGACCTCTCTGTTTCCATCTCTGGCAACCACCTGGAAACTGATATCCATTTCAAGCCCACCAACTCCCACAGCTACCTAGAATACACCTCCTCCCACCCACCTGCCTGCAAAAATGCCATCCCCTATTCCCAATTCCTTCGCCTCCACCGCATCTGCTCCCCGGATGAGGCATTCCACTCCCAAACATCTCACATGTCTTCGTTTTTCAAGGATGGCAACTTCCCCCCCTCAGTGGTCGAGAACACCCACGACCGTGTCTCCCGCGTTTCCCGCAACTCATCCCTCACACCCCCTCCTCGCAATAACAACCAAAACAGAATCCCCCTCGTCCTCACGTACCACCCAACCAACCTCCGGATCCAACGCATCATCCTCCGACACTTCCGCCATCTGCAATCCGACCCCACCACCAAAGACATTTTCCCTCCCCACCCTTATCTGCTTTCCAGAGGGACCACTCTCTCCGGGACTCCCTTGTCCGCTCCACACTCCCCTCCAGCCCCACCACAACTGGCACTTTTCCCTGCAACCGCAGGAAGTGCTACACCTGCCCCTACACCTCACCCCCATCCCAGGCCCCAAGAAGACTTTCCACATCAAGTAGATGTTCACTTGCACATCTGCTAATGTGGTATACTGTATCCGCTGTTCCCGTTGTGGCCTCCTCTACATTGGGGAAACCAAGCGGAGGCTTGGGGACCGCTTTGCGGAACACCTCCTCTCGGTTCGCAATAAACAACTGCAGCTCCCAGTCGCGAACCATTTCAACTCCCCCTCCCATTCCTCAGACGACATGTCCATCCTGGGCCTCCTACAGTGCCACAACGATGCTACCCGAAGGTTGCAGGAACAGCACCTCATATTCCGCTTGGGAACCCTGCAGCCCAATGGTATCAATGTGGACTTCACAAATTTCAAAATTTTCCCTCCCCCTACAGCATCGCAAAACCAGCCCAGCTCGTCCCCGCCTCCCTAACCTATCCCCTCCTCCCACCTCAAGCCCCACCCCCATCTCCTACCTACTAGCCTCATCCCACCCCTTTGACCTGTCTGTCCTCCCTGGACTGACCTATTGCCTCCCTAACTCCCCACCTACACTCACCTTTACTGGCTCCATCCCTGCCTCTTTGACCTGTCTGTCTCCTCTCCACCTATCTTGTCCTCTATCCATCTTCTATCTGCCTCCCCCTCCCTATTTATTTCAGAACCCCCTTCCCCTCCCCCATTTCTGAAGAAGGGTCTGGACCTGAAACGTCAGCTTTCCTGCTCCTCTGATGCTGCTTGGCCTGCTGTGTTCATCCAGCTCTACACCTTGTTATCTCGGATTCTCCAGCATCTGCAGTTCCTACTATCTCAGTATAAATTCCAAGCAGAGTGGAACAACACCGCTTTATCGGAGGCCTCACTGATGATGTTACCTAGCATGGTGACGGAACATCTGAGCAAAAACAAATCAGCTCAGCAAGCAAGTCAACAACCTCATGTAATTTTATTAAATAATTTTATTACAGCAAGGGCCAAATTTCAGTTTTTTTTTAGTTCATCATTGTAACAGATTTTCAAGCTATTCATGTCATTGCAAAATAACGGAGTGTTACAGAACTTTTGTCGGAACTGAACTTATATTGGCTTCAGCTACATTATGTATTTGGGAAGGGGTGAAAACTGCTCATAAAAGCAAGAGTTGCCAACGGTTGTATGCTGTTGAAATTCAGTCAATATCTTTAGTCTTATACTGCATGATATGGCATGGCATGTAAGCATTTAATTAAACTTTCAGGATTCCGGCTCTTTGGATATGCGTGGAATGGGACAGATGCTCCCAACAAATGTAATGGAAGAACAGTTGTTAAGGCAGCAGCAGGAAATGGAGGAGGATCAACGATGGCTTGAACAGGAAGAGAAGTTTCTGGTAAGTTCCCTCTTTTTCCTTTTAGTCTCTAGCCAAATATACTGTGCAATGACAAATTTTAGAGATCGATGGGTAAAATTTTAATTATTAGCTTGAAAATGTATTGAATCTGTGTAAGTGCTGATTGTATAGCCTTTAGATTAATCAGTCACCTGTACTTCAGGTTGTTAATGAAAAGGATCCAATAGAAAGCAATTGATGAAAGAATAATATCCAGTCTTACTCTGAAGCATTGCATAAAAGGTTGCACAGCTTAGATGTTATTGTTAACTTTGATATTTCTGTCTTTCTGAAGTGTTTATATTGGGTCTTCTGATTTAAGTGATAATAAATGCTTTATTACCATTGAACTGGGTTCCAATGTGACCTGACATGTTTGTCTTAGGGTCTTTAACATAATGAACATTATGATATTCTTTGTGAAAATATGGCAGTCAAGCAGCAGGAAATAAGAAGTGGAAGGGATGACCAATAGCAGAAAATAGTGTCAAGGCAATGAAAGTTATGCCAGGACTGGCGGAGTGTCGTGTGGTAAGAAAGGTTCACAGGATGCATTCATAGAGGATGAGTCCAAGTTTTGGAGAGTCGGAAGGATGACTGCCTTATAATAAGGATCGTGGCATCAGCACAGATGTTACAGTCATCAAAGGCAGCAGATTGGATGAGATCTTGAATCTCTGTATCACTGTCAGCTTTAGATGAAAGGTAGCTTCCCAGGTAAGGGAAAAGCTCCACCATTGGAAGTTCTCCATGGATCTTAATGGAGAGATGGATCAAAACTTCACTTGGAACAGATTGGCAAAGGATTTGAGTCTTCTTGAGGTTGAGGCCAAGAACAATTCTTCAGTACGCTGCCACAAAGACGTTAAATAAGGCTTGAAGATTCCCTTCCAAGACAGCAGAGATGACAGTGTCATCCATATACTAAAGTTCCACAAGCAGTGTCATTTTCTTCTTGGATTTCAATCGGTTGAGGTTGAAAGGGTTTCCATCCATGCTGTAGACAATCTCTACACCATTGGGAAGCTTGTTCTTGACAAGATGAAGAATGGTGGCGATGAAGATGGAGAAAAGCATGCAGCCAGTGACACATCCCTGCTTGACCCCTGTCTTTACCTCCAAAGGATTCTGTCATGTTGCTATCAGTGAGACCGTCATCTCTCAATGCTGTTTGAGGTGGTTTCTCTGCGTCAGCTGGGAGGACAGGCATACTAACATCAGCGTCCTCGAAGCAACCAATTGCACCAGCATCAAGGTCATGATTATCCAAAACCAAATCTGCTGGGCCAGCTATGTGCTTAGGATGCCTGAGTTCCAACTGCCAAAGCCAATCTTTATCGCCCAGCTCAAGGAAAGCACTTGAATAAGAGAGGAGGACAAAGAAAACATTTCAAAGACTCCCTGAAGGATTCCCTCAAGAAGTGCAACATAGATGTCAATGCATGAGAGACCTTCGTTCAGAAGAAACTGACTTACAGGAAACTCTTTTCTGAAGGGACACAATTCTTTGAGAACACCCAATGGCAAGAGGAAGTACAGAAAAGGAACCGGGGAAAGGAAACTCAGCGATCTCAAGGCTAAGGATCATTCCCACTTCCTGAAAACACCTGCCAAATGTGTAGTCTGATATGTGGTTGTAGGATTGGTCTCATCAGCCACATAACAACCCATGGAACTCCTGACCAAGGACACGGAATTTCCTAGGTGGACAATCATACTCATTGGTGAGTGATTGCCAATGATGAAGAGACTGAAATGTTGAGCTAGAACATATATTGATGAGGTTGGAAACATAGTTTTGCGCAAGGACATGGATAAACTAAGAAAGGGTATTAAGGATTTTAATTTGAGATTTTTTTTTCAAGAGACAATGGATGAGTGCAACCTAATGTGAGAGGTTATGTTTTGACTTTTTTGAGTATTAATACAGTGGTTCTTACAAAGTTAGCAAAAACAGGTATTCAAGAAAAGTCTGTTGGTATTGAAAACATAGAGATATGCTTTTCTCTCGCAATGGGAACTGGGTTATTGAATTTATTTAAGGCAGAATTAGTTAGATGTTTGGTTGCCAAGATGATTCTTAGGTTATGGGGTCAGATGAAAAAGTGAAGTTGAGACCATAATCAGATTAGCCATGATCCTGTTGAATTATGGAACAGGCTGGATTAGCTGAATGGCCTACTCCTAAATCTAACCCTATGTTTCCTTTGTGGGTTTTAGCAGCTGTGAAGTGACACAAAGGCAAAGCTTGATAGTGTTATGGAAATTGGTATTAATTGTCTTGATAATGGATAAAATGAGAAGTTTGAGGATCAATTCCAGTTGAACAGGATACTAGACTTGCACCTGAGTTTGCCTTTATTAGCAGCCTGGGAGGGGAATCAAAACAGGCAATGATTTTGGATTTTTCCCCCTTTGGAATCCAAATGAGAAGCTGTAAAGAGCAGAGTTATCCTAGCCAGTGCCCAAGCCGCAATTTATCTCTTTACCAACATCAACCAACATCATAAATCACTTATCCAATTATTATTCTATTACTGCTTCATGGTCTTTGCTGTGTGAGTATAGCCTGCCATGTTTCCTACATTGCAATCGCACATAATTGCCCTTTAAAGCCCTTTGGAAACCCATGATGTTGTGAAAGATATTATGTAGATCGAATTTCTTATTTTCTTAGTTGTGCCCAAGCCTGGGAACATGTTATCTCACCCTGAGATTGGGAGGAGCAGAGTTTAATGGAATTGTAGTGTGCTGAGAAGAGTTACATAATGGAGAAATAATGCCCTGAACCTTCAAAATGTCGGTGTTCAAGCTGCTTGCTTTTAATAGTTTTGAAGATATTTTTGTATGTTAGATCTTGTTCCACTTCTTTTTGAGAAATTAAAAACTTCTGTAAGTTTCTTGAGCCAATTCTGATGAATGAGTGACTTACAAGTTCATTCATTATTTCACGGAATCTCTTTCCATCAAGACAGTGTAATCCTATTACAATGAAGGAAAAGTGGTTTTTTTGTGTTTTGTTTGAATATTCTTTGAAAACAACAACATCAAGATTGTTCCTTTGTCATTGGTGATCTATTCTCAACTTTGCTATATTTCCCATGAACTTAATAATCTTCCATTTGAACTGTGTATTTCTTTCATACCCAAAGACCGTTAAAATCTTTATTTTGGCAAACAAGAGCATAGTTAAGCATCCTGAAATTGGCAGGAGAGTTGTGTCAAAACGATTGAGGCTATAGAAAATGCACAACATTGTGCTAAATAAAGACTGAGTATTCATTCCACACTTAAGCCACAAATATGGTATGTTTTCTACCCACTTTACATTGTTATATAGACCATCCAGAACAGAGAGAGACAATTAGATTCAGTTTGTCCGAGTTGGCATTTATGCTCTACTTGAGCCTACTCCCAGCTAAACCATCAGCATAGCTGATGTGCTGATCTAGTCTCTGATCAAATACTTCAATGATCGTTCACAACTGTTTGTCATAGGATATTCTTTGCATTAGGATTTTTATGAATTTCCTGTTCGATTTATTTTTGACTACCTATAAATTTCTACATTTTTCTACATTTATTCCATAAAATCCTTTTGATAGCGTAAAGACACCTCGTCCTATCAGGTCATCCTCAGCCTTCTGTTTTCTAGAGAAAATAGAATGACTTCTAGCTGTTTCAGTGTAGGTTCACTGTCTGTCTCAGTGTCCCTTAGTTTTCACAGATGAATGTCAGAGAAAATGAATAATTGAAAACGTGATACTGTACTGAAAACAAAACGGTGGAACTATCATAAAATAGTGAAGAAAGTGGGAAGGAATATCTGGGAAACTGGCCACATTTCCGATATTAAGTACTGCTGAAAGAAACCAGTTTCATTGATTTGACATTGACCTTTACATGAATGCACCACTCAAGGACGCCTTTGATATTTACATTACAGCACTATAACATGGCAGTCTAGACCCTCCCTCTAATATGCACAACAAATCATTGAACTTGAGAACACAACAACTTGCATAGTTGAATTTAGTTTTAACAATGCCATGGGACAGCAATGGCCTGCTAGTATTGTCACTAGTAAACCAGAGACCCAGGTAAAGTTATGGGGTACTCAGCAAGGGCTTTCCTTGCCCATGTTTGTCTTGATGCTATGAGACCTCTTGTTGAGGACTCCCAGGATGACTTGGGCTATTTAAAACTGGTTGGTGTTGGGGCCCAGCTCTAAGGAGTAGATCAGAAGATGTGATCTTGGAGTGGATTACACGATCAACTTCCACCAGATTGACAAAAGGCCCTGGCAGACAAAGAGAACTGGGACACAAAATATCTTGCATTGTAACTTGTAATTTGACCCTTGTAATATACAAAATTAACACTAGTGTTTCTGATATGGCCTACGACAGTTGGAACTGCTACAAGTTATTTTAACTGTCGGGTAAATCCATGAACCATTTAAATTTACACTCATATAAATTTCACTGTCAGCTATCACTGTTCCTAAATTTTAGGGAGATGGTGGTACAGTGGTAATGTCACTGGACCAGTAACTGTTGGAATTTCAACTCAAAATCTGGAATTGCAAGCTAGTCTGGTGACCATAAAAATATAATTGATTGCTATCCTGCTGTATTGTAGCCTCTGACCTTCTCTCGTAGCCACCTTATGTATATGGCTTGTCCAGTTCAGTTTCTGATCAATGGTGACCCCCAGAATGTTGATAAAGGTGGATTCAGTAATGGTAATTAGGTTAGATTATCTCTTATTGGAGATGGTCATTGCCCAGCATTTGTGTGGCATGAATGTTGCTTATCACTTTTCAACCCAACCTAGATGTTATCCATGTCTAGTTGCATTTGCACAGACTGCTTCACTATCTGGTGCAGAACATTGTGCAACCATCAGCAATTATCCCCTTTACTGGTGCCTTATGATGGAGAGAAGATTGTTGACGAAGCAGCTGAAAGTGGTTGGGCCTAAGACACTACCCTGAGGAC